GAATTTTTTTTTTTTTTGGGGGGAGGGATTTTTGTCTCTCTCAATTCTTCCAATTGAATCTGGTAAAAAGTATAGATGAGTTGGCCTCTAGATTTGTTAATTTTATTGATCAAATCAACTGGTGTGTATATTTATATTCCCAATTTTGAAGGGATGTTTTCTTGACTGCATTACAAACTTGAAATCAATTAAAAGATGACAACACAAAAAACAATNAGAAAAACAGAGGAGAAAGAACGAAGAAAATTTGTATCTGATTTCAATTAGTAAAGTTTTCTGATACTGTACACTTTATACCCATATTTCTTATAAAGAAGAAAGACACGATAAGTGTCCTAGCTGAGCTGCCTAAAGCAATACTCTAACACACAAAAAACGCTGCCGTATCACTTATTCTTAAACGGTGCAGTTTTGTTCTTCAGTCCAACACCCACAAGTCAGCATGTAAGTATTCTAAGCAGTTGGCAGCCAGGTGAGTCCCCTTTTGGAAACTCAACCTGTGTTGTTTGCCCATAATACAGGTCTCACAGAAATCAAGAGGTTTAATAGGGTCCTTACCAAACAGGCCCTGCTTATGGAGGATGTCCAGGCCCTTTTGGCTCATATGGCCTAATCTTAAGTGCCATTTTTCAGTAACATTCAAGTTAGTAGAAACCAAAGCAGAATTTAAACAATCAGCATAATAGGATCCAGACAGAATATACAAGCCATTTCTTTTTATCCCTTCAAGAAAAACACAGTTATTTTTATAAACATACAGGCAAACATTTTTAGCTTTATAACTACAACCAGATTCATCTAAGACACTTAATGAAATTAAGTTTCTTTTTAATTCTGGAATGTACCTCACTTTAGTCAACTTGACAGTTTTACCACTGTTTAGTTTTAATGTGATGCTGCCTATCCCTTCAACCCTACAGGCATTATTATTCCCCATGTAGACAGTTTCTAACCTATTCTCCTCATAGTCCTAAAACCAATCTTTATTGGGACTCATATGAAAAGAGCATCCAGAGTCCATTACCCAATCATTTATCTTTTCTGTTTTAGAAACAGTTAAAACTTCAGATTCTTCTAAACTGGACTTAGAGGTTGCTAGGTTGCTTTCTGTATTCCCTTGTTTCTATTTCTTAAGCCAGGCATAACAGTTCTTTTTCAAATGGCCAGCCTTGTTACAGAAGAAACACTTCTTGGTTTCTCCTTTGGTCTTACGGTTTTGTTTTCTCTTTTTCTTATTCCTAGGCCCACTATCAGACTGGATAGAATTACTAATCTGATTAAAATCACCATTTCGTTTAACAAAAAGATTACTACCAATTCTTCTTTGCACTTTAATCTCTAATTCCCTAGCTTTTAATTCTAAAACTATTAAATTTATGCCTGGGATAGTACCAGAATATTGGAGGGCATTTTTTACAACTTGGTAATCTTCAGTTAAAGAAATCAAAAGAATCATAGCTAAAATAGAGTCTCCGAGTTCTTGATCTGTACCCTTCAACACTTGGGTCAGTTTCAAGAACTCATCAATATTCTCATCAATAGTCCTAGAGCTATCCATTTTATATGCAAATAAAACACCTTTTAAGTAAGCTAGATTAGGAGCAAATTGTAATGCATAAAGAGATTCGAGTTTACCCCATACCGCTGTCGGAGTTTCAAAACCGTCTACCTTTCGCAGGACCGCATCGGAGAGGTTCATGATTATCAGATTGTATGCCTCCTCCTCTAGCTCTGCCTTCTTTTTCAGTTTCTCCTCTGACCATTTGATCACGTCCTTGTCCAGTGCGATGGCTACCTTGTTATGAGATAACAACGCCTTCATTTTCTTTTTCCAACTATTGAAATTAATTTTCCCATTGAATTGGGTGATTTCGACTCTTGTAGTAGTCATAGTGACGGATTACTGTTTGGATCTAGGATTGACACAGAAACCCTAATCATGGTTAAGGTTGAATTTGAACTAATTTCACGAAATTGATTTGATATTCTAAGGTTTTCTAAGCCCTAAGCCACTAATTTGACTGATTAAACTGAAACCCCCAATTTGTATAAACCCTAGGTTTCAAGAATTACTCAAATCAAACCGAATAAACCCTAATCTCGCTCTGATACCACTGTTGTGTGTGAAACAGAATTCAAACCTATCAATCAACACTCACAAACACAATCACAAGACGTAAACTACCAAGAACACAAGATTTTTACTGTGGTTCGCTTATTCCAATGGAATAAACTATGTCCACGTTGAGCTCCAAGCAAATTGGGACCCACTGCACTATAAGGATCAAAGTATTACAAGTACAGCTCAATCATAACCCAAATCACTCAACTCTTACACTGATACAACAATCACTCGAATCTCCCTGTAATCACAATAAGCTAACCCGAAAACTGAAAGCCTATACCAAAAAAAACCACTCTGCAGTTTCTGCTATCAAGATTCACAAGAACCTAAACCTAATTACAATGTTCGAAAGAGTAAAAAATAAGAAGACTAAAACTGTTGTAAAACGCAAGAAAGAAGAAGATCAAGTTGCTATGCGCATTCTCAGATCTGGCTGCCTTTTATACTTTGACTTAATGAACTGATATTGGCCGTTAGATCTGAATGGAATCAATGGCTGAGGATTGTCACTTGAGCTAACACCAAAACGATAGCGTTTCACTTTAGGCGCAAGACGACACCATCAAAGATTCACTCAACATTCCGGATAAAGAATTCAGGAGGCAAATATACTATAATGTTGAATTCCTCGATAAAGATTAAAATTAAGGTCATTCGTGATATAGAGTTATTAGCACTGTTTTGAGAGTATATTTGATATATTTAAGGAGTCTAAAAATGAAAAAAAGTACTGGATTGATAGATATAGTAGTCATCATTCTCGTTGGTTTGCATAACATTTAAAGATCCTAAAGGAGCAAGAGTTGTATATTCCACAAAACGTCATTCTTGCCAAGGTTGTATGCTTTTTTTTTTTTTTTTCAACCTACTCAAGTCTAAATGTGTGATTGGATTCGCAGATGATTGGTAAAAAAAAATAATCTTCTCTTATGAGAATAATAACAAATGGAAAGTGTTCAATTGGAACATGAAATGTTGGGCCAATCATTGAAGATAAAAAGACATCGAATCCATATGAAGTTTTACCCTGAAAATACTCTGACGTTATGAAAAGTTCTTAATGTTAGTTTTACCCAGAAAATACTCCGATAGTATGAAAAGTGCTATATTTATATATATTCTTTGATTTGTGATAACAAATTCTTTTTTTGTAATATAATCTTGTATAGAGAAACCCTATGGATAATATCAAACTTTCAATGTAAAAAAAATAGATTTAAATTCTTTAAATGATAATAAATTATTACAATTATTCTTTTTATTCACAAGCTGAATTGTCTTTAAGTTTCAAAATAGCTCTAACACGAGGTCATAGTTAAGAGAGGGTGATCATTCAAAATTTAGGAGTCGAGCGACGAAAGCTCCAAATAAAATATATGTTTCTAGTAGCAAGCAGAAACAAGCTACTCATTTTTCACTGTTATCAGATTTCAGTTTGATCATATATTTCATGCTTAATTTCAAATGTTGGGCATTATATATAACATTAATATTTCTTTAACTTAAAAGTTGTATTTACCTTCACATCGCTAGTTTAGTGAATAGAGGTGATCGGTTATGGGTATTCTACAATTACTAAGATTTAGAATCGAAAACTGGTTCCAGTTCCTAGAAATTTGGAATTAGGACCTGAAACATAGCTTCCGCTTTTGGGTAACCAGGTAAATTTTAGTTACTCCCTATTTTTTGAAAAATAACAAATGTACCTCCAACAGTTTTCAAAAATTATAATTTAGTTCTGGTTCCTACCCGGGTGCTTGGACCTCGGTTCCCATTTTGGTTCCCAAAACCAAAACTGGACTCAGGAATTCTCGATTCTAATTTTTTAGAACCGAAACCAAACCCTAATGGGGCCAGTTCCAGTTCCTACCTGGAACCGGTGGGTGGGTACCCATGGTTTCGATTCTATCTTTTACCTATGCTCACCCCCAACTGTTATGGTGAATAAATGTGGTTGGATTCCCTCGTTCCTTAAGCTAGCTTTTGGGAATGAGTTATACTCAAACCTGTATACTAAACAATTTATTTGTGTTATTTAATATTAAATGACAAAAAAAAATCATTTTTTGCTTAATAAAAAGTATAAACTTTTGATATTTTAACTTTGTTATCTTAGTATAAATCCGAATTTGGAAAAATACTGATGACCTGAAAAAGTTGATGTTGATGTATAGCATGAAAGAGACAAGCTCATGCTATTGAAACAAAGAAGAACTACATTTTCCTCCCTTTACTTTCGGTTTATTTTTAAAGATCCCCACTTCAATTGCTACAATTTGAAAAATACCTATGTAAAATTCAACTCATTTCCCGTAATTTTAGCCTAAACACGTCGTAATTTAAACAAATAATAAGAAATACGAGAAATGAATTTGAGATGGGTTTTTAATGATTTAAAAACAAATAAACTCTTATTTTTCTCCGAGAAATAAAGGTATTAAGGAGGAGTTTCACTAAATAAAAGAGCAAGTTAGTAAAAAAACCTATTGCGCACTAGTGTTATTTGTGTAATGCATTTCTCATTATTTTGATTTCCATTGTTTCAACATAATTTTTAAGGTAATCAACTGAGTCAAATGAGCAAATTATTAGTCTTTCAAACTAGTGTCCTTAAAAAATGAACACAAACTATAGGGACCGAAAAGAATTCTCACCTTGACACATTAAATATTGAATATTCGACAGTTGACAAAGAAGAAATTTATAAGAATTGTGATCAACCAGGAAGAGTTCAGCCGCGGGCCAAGTCATCCAGCGGGTCAATAATTCAATCTACAAGACTACGACCTTTTCCTTTGTCAATTCATGGTTAAATTTATAGCTATAAATACAGCCATGGCGCTCTCTTATTTTCATTCTCATTCTTCAGAAACTCAAACAAAAGAAACAAAACCAGATAGCAACCCAGAAATACAGCTTAATAGCTTATATTGTCAATACCATTCATGGCCTCTTTACAAGTTTTAAATCCACTGTTTTCTTGTTCTTCTTCAAATAGAATTAATGCCGCAATATCTGTCCCAAAACTTCCCAGAATCCGTTTCTCACCTCTGAAAAAACCAAGTAGAGACTTGGTTGAGGAGCTGAAGGTGAGAGATAATGGATACACAAACTCAGTGCTAGTAGAAAAGTTTGTTCCTAGCACAAAATTTCAAGAAGATAACAATGTTGACGACTCTACTAATTCTATGGTGACAGCCCAACTTTACGCCGTGTTGGAGGCTGTTGCTGATAGAATTGAGATGCACTATAACATTGGCCAGCAACGTGACAACTGGAACACGCTTCTCTTGAACTCCATCAACATGATTACCCTCACTGCTGCCACCATGGCTGGTGTTGCGGCAACTGGTGGCGCAGGTGTTTCGCTTCTGGCATTGAAGTTATCTTCTACGCTCTTGTTCTCTGCAGCCACAGGGATGATGGTTATGGTGAACAAGATCCAGCCCTCGCAACTTGCCGAAGAGCAACGTAACGCAACAAGATTGTTCAAGCAGCTCCAGAGTGAAATACAAACAGTTTTTGCTCTAAGGTTGCCCAATAAAGAAGATGTGAAAGATGCAATGGAGAAAGTGTTGGCGCTTGACCAAGCATACCCACTTCCCTTGTTAGGTAAAATGATTGAGAAGTTCCCTAAAACATTTGAGCCTGCTGTGTGGCGGTCGTCAAACCATTCCCAGGCAAACAACAAAAAAGCATTTAAAAGCGAGCAAAGTAGCTCGAAGATGGAGAAAAATGGATGGAGTGAAGATCTGGAAGAGGAAATGAGAGAGATTATTGAAGTGTTAAAGAGAAAAGATACAGAAGATTACATGAGACTAGGCAACCTGGCGTTGAAGATAAACAAGATTCTAGCCATCTCAGGGCCATTACTCACCGGCATTGCAGCTGTCGGGTCGGCTTTCGTGGGGTCTCCTCACGGGTCATGGGCTGCTGTCGTTGCGGTGGCTGCAGGCGCATTAGCTACCACAGTTAACACATTGGAGCATGGTGGACAAGTCGGTATGGTGTTGGAGATGTACAGATACTGCGCTGGCTCCTTCACACTTCTGGAGGAATCAATTGAAGCAAATCTCAATGAAAGTGAAGTAGAGAAGAGAGTAAACGGAGAGATGTTTGTACAAAACGTAGCTTTGAAGTTGGGAAGAAGCATATCACAGCTGAGAGATCTTGCCGAAAACTCAATTTATTCTCGCAGTAATGGAGCCGAGATTGACGAATTTGCAAGCAAACTTTTCTGATTTTACCGGATGTGGATGTATTCCTTGACCATACGTATTCTTTAATTTGTTCTGTACATGGATAACCAAATTCTTTGTATAATTATGTAAAGAGAATTGACTTAATGAATTTTTCGTTCTTCTTACAATTAAAGGAATAGTTTTTTTTTTTTTTACATTTTCTAGTATTTAAAAAAATATTTATTTTAAAACATTTTTGGATAATTTTAATTTGATTTAACTACAACCAATTGTTTTGCATATTTAATAATTCTTTATAAAGTACCGAGGATGCATATTTTAATTTAATCATATATTCTTGATAAAGAATTGAGGAGGCAAATATACTATAATGTTTTGAGAGTATATTTGATAAATATAAATAAAAATAAGAACAGAAATCTGACATTTTATGATACATATCTGCTCGGTTTCAGTACAACACAAAGTCATCATTTTCTTTGGTTTGCATAGTATTTAAAGTCGTTCTTGTTAAGGTTGTATCCGTAGATGATTGGTAAAAAGAAATAATCTTCTCCTTTATAATAATAAAAAATGGAAAGTGTTAAATTGAAACATAGAAATGTTGGGCCAATCATTGAAGATAAAAGGACATGAATCCATACAAAGTTTTATCATTAAAACACTCCGACGGCATGAAAAGTTCTTAATGTTAATTGAGTCGTAACTTTAGTGTTTATCTCGCATCGTTATTACCCTCTATATAAATTATGTTGTTGTTTTGACTCAACTCCCAATATTGAGTTCTTTTTTATTTTTATTTTTATTTTTTATGTTTAGAGGTGTTCGGGCCAGTTTACGCACATTTCAATTAATTCTTTGGAACTATAGAACTAATGGCTAGATAAGAACTCCAATAATTACCCCTTTTAGCGATCGAGAAAGAACTCGAACTCATTACCTCTTGAGTAATATACTCAAGAGTTTTCATCAAACTACTCAATCACCTGGAGATAGTTTATTGAGTTTTTGTTATATCTTTAGAAAATAACTCAATCGCTGACTTACAGAGCAACTGAGTTATTGATTCCTATTAATGCTTAGACCAATAAATTTACACTGGTGTAGTCTACGTACATTGTAGATGTCAACTATTTTCGAGTTAGACTTAGACCATAAATTTATTGATTCCTATTAATGCTACTCAATCATCATCTTATTTATTTGTTGAATGGCAAGTCACCTTATGGCATTAATTTAATCATATTATTCCAAATAAAGTCTTTTAGGCTGTCAATATTTTCAATATTGACCTTTTCTCTTTTACCATATCAACAACACAAGTCGTTGTCTATTCATTCATTAAAACTTTTACCATATCACTTCAATCCCATTTTCTAAGATCAAGAAATCAAAAATCTCTTCATTATATATATATTGTAAACTAGAAGATGAATGAAAGTATGGAACAAGTTGTACGCGTTACATAATTATACAGTAATGAGTTTTCATTATGCTTCATATATTGGTGCTTGTATTATACTAAATACATATTCTCACAAGCTTTTGAATTGTCTAAGTTTGAAAATAGATTCATCAGATGAGGTCGTAGTTGAGACTGTCTGGTTCAAAAAACATGGAGTTGAATGAGAAATCAAGCCCTAAATTAACTAGTTGAACCATCCATATATGCAAACAAAGCAGCAGAGATAACAAGTTAGAAACGGGATTGGTTGCAAGGATTTGATGACCGAAGAATGTCGATTAAACCTTGTATTTTTTAATTACCAACCACATTAATGGACCTTCTTATAAGTTAAAAGACTGAGAGTCTGAGTTTTTAATTTCACATTTTACTCGTTTGTGCCAGCTAGAATGATAATCAGATTCATTATCCTTCCCATATGTATGTATAACTTTCACCACCATGTTCTGTTAACGTGTTATTTACTTATTTATTACAAGTTTAACTGAATATAATTAGTAAAATCTCAAAGGAAAATGGATGAACCAAAGATACAGAGCTAACTCATAATACTCAACCTTTTCTAAACCCTTTGAATGAAGCATACCCCAAAAGATCTGATAGCCTGATCCTAAAATTTGGAGGAAACCCACCCATGGATAGTCCAATTTGGGCAGCAATAAAGGCGAATTAAGGGGATTGGCATGACTTTAACCCTCAGTCTCACGTTTGATTCTCCACTAGGTGCAAAGATAATATATTTGATCATGATTTACTTTGGGGGCTGTGATTGTGGGTTGAGAAATAATCGAAATGTGCGTAAGTTAGTCCGAACATCTCAGTTAACAAAAATATGTATACAAAGTTTTCTTATTAGATGGAAGCAACTAATTAATAAAGGATATAAGGATTTTACAAAACATAAATAATTGTGTATTCAATGGAATTCCTAATTTAAACATGGAGAGTGTATTTTAAAACAAAATATGTCACTTGGATAGTAAAAAGTTTGGGATGATTAAACTTAGATACTGAAATATTGAGTTCAAGTACTCTTGCATACGTAGGAGATAATCTTGACTTGAGGGGGGACGAAAATTACAAAGAGAAAAAGTCAGCTTAGGCCAAGTCACATTCCAAAACGCACCCAGTCCAGTCAGCCGACGACCTCTTCTATATATCTTTGATCAGTTATAGTTCGTTAGTATAAATACTGGCAGATACCATACACAAACACAATAACAATCACAAACAAAGATAATCAAATATCAGATACCATTCATGGCTTCTTTACAAGTTTCAGATAGCCTTTTTTATTCATCTTCGTGTCGCTCTTCAAATAGAATAAATGCTGCTATATCTGTCCCCANTAATAAAAAGTGTAAAATTTTGATTTTTTAACTTTGTATCTTAGTATAAATCCGAATTTCGAAAAATGCTGATGTGGTACCTGAAAATGTTGATGTTGATGTATAGCATGAAAGAGACAAGCTCATGCGATTGAAACAAAGAAGAAGTACATTTTCCTCCCTTTAGTTTCGGTTTATTTTTAAAGACCCCCATTTCAATTGCTACCATTTGAAAAATACCTATGAAAATTCAACTCATTAACCGTGATTTCAGTCTAAACACGTTTTAATAAATTAAAACATAATAATAAGAAATATTAGAATTTGAATTAAGAGATGGATTTTTTTTAATGATTTTAAAACAAATAAACTCTTATAATTCTTCTAGAAATAAAGGTATTAATGAGGAGTTTCACTAAAATAAAAGAGCAAGTTAGTAAATGAACTTGTTGATGCAGACATTTGCACTAATCAGAGGTACGTGATAGACAGCGTTAAAATCACGTAGGATGTGTGCGTTATCTCGATGGATCAGTCATGAAACAATATGATGATGAATATGCTAGAATCAACACAAAACACAAAGAACTTTTTAAAGTGTTCAGCTACTCGTAATGTAGGGCCTATGTCTATTATTATGTTATTGAACGTATTGAAATAGTGTTGTGTTTTATAAGGAATTTTTAGTTTGCTTTCTGTGACTTATTTTCCATCCCTAAAATAGATTACAACTAAGTTTATATAGTGCCACATATATGGTCAAGTTAAAAATAAACTCAAATTTGATTAAACGAGGAGTTGCGTGATCTTCTACCTTGATTATGAGATCTATTTTGCAAAATATATGCATGCCAAATGGGGATTTTATCTGCTCTGAATTTCCCTCACAACAAACCCTATTGCACACTAGTGTTATTTTTATAATGCATTTCTCATTATTTTTGTTTTCGCTGTATCAACATAATTTTTAAATTAATCAACTGAGTCAAATGACCAAAATATTAGTATCTCAAACAAGTGTCCTTAAAAAATAAACATAAACTATAGGGAACGAAAATGAATCCTCACTTTGAAACATTAAATATTGAATATTCTGAAAGTTGACAAAGATGTCAAAAGAAATTTATAAGAATTTTGATCGACAAGGAAGAGTTCAGCCGTGGGCCAAGTCATCCAGCAGGTCAAATAATTCACTCTACGACCTTTTCTTTTATCAATTCATGGTTAAATTCATAGCTATAAATACATCCATGGCCTCTCTTATTTTCATTCTCATTCTTCCACAAACTCAAACAAAAGAAACAAAAACAAATAGCAACCCAGAAATATAGCTGATATTATAAATACCATTCATGGCCTCTTTACAAGTTTTAAATCCACTGTTTTCTTGTTCTTTTTCAAATAGAATTAATGCTGCTATATCTGTCCCAAAACTTCCCAGAATCCGTTTCTCACCTCTGAAAAAACCAAGTAGAGACTTGGTTGAGGAGCGGAAGGTGAGAGATAATGGATACTTAAACTCAGTGCTAGTAGAAAAGTTTGTTCCTAGCACAAAATTTCAAGAAGAAAACAATGTTGACGACTCTACTAATTCTATGCTGACAGCCCAACTTTACGCCTCATTGGAGGCTGTTGCTGATAGAGTTGAGATGCACTATAACATCGGCCAGCAACGTGACAACTGGAACACGCTTCTCTTGAACTCCATCAACATGATTACCCTCACTGCTGCCACCATGGCTGGTGTTGCGGCAACTGGTGGCGCAGGTGTTTCGCTTCTGGCATTGAAGTTATCTTCTACACTCTTGTTCTCTGCAGCCACAGGGATGATGGTTATCGTGAACAAGATCCAGCCCTCGCAACTTGCCGAAGAGCAACGTAACGCAACAAGATTGTTCAAGCAGCTCCAGAGAGAAATGCAAACAGTTTTTGCTCAAAGGGTGCCCAATAAAGAAGATGTGAAAGATGCAATGGAGAAAGTGTTGGCGCTTGACCAAGCATACCCACTTCCCTTGTTAGGTAAAATGATTGAGAAGTTCCCTAAAACATTTGAGCCTGCTGTGTGGTGGCCATCAAATCACTCCCAGGCAAACAACTAAAAAGCGTATAAAAGAGAGCAAAGTAGCTCGAAGATGGAGAAAAATGGATGGAATGAAGATCTTGAACAGGAAATGAGAGAGATTATTGAAGTGTTGAAGAGAAAAGATACAGAAGATTACATGAGACTAGGCAACCTGGCGTTGAAGATA